AGAGCACTTCCGTGCTTCGACATGTTGCCCGAAATCTTGAGCTCGATGGATAGCAGGAATCTGAAGCGTTTTCAGAGCCAGTGACGCAGTTATGGCAGCTGGAAATCGCGGGTCTCGATTGGGAGTGCTTGATCAACGATCTCTTCGCTTTTCGTGCTTGCTTCAAGCGAGACTATGCCGAATATTTGGCGATAAGTGAGTGATTAGAATCGTACTTACTTGAAGGCAAAAATCGCAGTGAGCTAGCGAGAGGTCTTTTGGTATATTGGTTAGAAATAAAAGTGTACGTGCCAACTGACTCGCTCGTGAATAAAAAAGCAAAGGAAACGGTCGAAAACGCTCAAAATCAGGCTTTCCCTGTGCTGAGAGATAAAAAAATCGATGTCGTTTTCGGGCGAGAGCGCACGGGAACGTGTAAGACAACAAGATATCTATCAGTGTGGGCGGAGTCGCTTGAACAACCCTGTGCCTCACCGTCGCTACCTTACAACTTTCTGACATAGAATTTGTACTGGCTTATTCACGGCGGTTTCCGCTACCTTTCCTTTCAAAGAGCTTAGATACTTATAGGTATCGTGGGCCGTGCTTTTAAGGTTTATGTTAATGGTATTATGGTTCTTTTTGCCGAAACCTGCAAGCGAAATTGTAATAGTATTGGAACTATTATACGCCATAAGGACCGCGGGGTTCAGCGGCTACCTCTATACCCTTTACATCTTACTGCACCAGTCATGGGTAATTTTGTTCAAGGATTGTCGCGCAGCTCCAGAAAATTTCTTTCCATACTTGGCCTTATAACCCTTTTACGATTTTCTTTAGTATAGAGTGCTTCTTTGAGCGGAGGTTCGGTGTAGTTGATCGAGTGGCGTGCTTACCGGACACTCGCGCGGAGTCGGGTTCGTATCCCGGGGTCGACAGCGCGCGCCCAGACCGAAGCCGAGGCCTTCTAACCCCGGGGACGGTAAATTGTACCACTTCATCCTTTTATCCTTTTATGTGGTTCAATTGCACATTCCGCGATGACCGAAGGAGGTAGTGGCGCCTATGAGGTGACCCTCTGTCTCTGCTCATGTGATGGGCGTGCATTAAACACCGATAGAAACCCTTTAGAAAGACAGTGCGCACGATGGCTGGGGCGGGCGGTTGCTGCCAGCGTCATTGGTCCAGAAGAGGAGTGGGGGTGTGGTCCAAACGCCCTCTCGCAGCCCTTCCACCAATGATGTTGGCAGCAACCGCCCGCCCAGAGCCATCGTGACCACCACTGCCTTGGAGCTCAATATTATATGAAGGGTCTCTCCAGAGCCATCGTACGTGGAAAGTTTTTCGATGGGTGAGGAGGGTCGTTATTTAGTCGCGAGGGGTCGTACTGAGGTTTTCTCATCGTTGTAGCATGCACTTCTTTGCCAGTCGGCCTATGAAATGATCGCTTACAGACAGGCAGCTCGCTTGCTTTTGAGCGAATGTGTTCAACAAGCTCAGAATCACGATGTGGTTTGTCTGAGGATGGCAATGGTGGAGCTAGCCGCACTAGAAGCGATGCCGCCCAGTAATGTCGACCTCAAGGCTCCCTCTGAAGGTGAAGTTCTCTTGGTTAACTCACAGGGCGTTTCTAACGCACACATCACTTTCAGAAAAGTCAACAGAAACTCTTCTCACCACTGATGAACTACTGCGAATGATCCATCGAGCAGCGCGCACGGAAACGAGGTATGTTGCAGTACGTGGGAGACATTGGATCCACATTATTGCGATGCACACAAACTAGTCAGCGTTTACCAGCTAGTTGGCTCGATATACTGCAGCAGTTCCACGTTAAATCAATTAGGTCCCGAGGCGAAGCGGTACGCGTGCCGCAACGTGGATCTAACGTAGACCCCTTTGCTGAGATGTTGTGCGCTGCGTTATAAAAACTCGAGACAATGAGCTTCCAATAAAAACTCGAGACAATGAGCTTCCAGAATCGAGGGTGACGATCATCGTGATGCCGCAGCCAGTACCGACGAGTATGAATACCTATTTGAACAGCTGATTTCCTTGGCCCATCTGATGACAGCCATAACAGAAGCTCGGCGTTGTAAATCGCTCAGAGTGTAAGTGTGTTTCCCTTGATTATCGTGTATATTGAGAAAGATATGATTTTCAGAGTAGAGGAAGGTTTGGAGCGAGCGATGAGATGCGTATCAGGTCCAGACTCAGGAGCTCGAGCTCGACTGATCAGCGACGCCGCAGTGGCGACGACGTGCAGCGTCCGTCTGCGGCACGGTCTTGCCTTGGCCACCCAGTCCCTTGCTACTTCACTTGTCGAGACGAATTACGCCGATGGGTGTGCACCTAGGCATGAGACGGAAGCACATGTGAGATCATTTCGATGTGAAGGCAGTTGCTAGTAGGAATTCGCGTGTTAGGCTTTCGGAGGGAGACTTTTGTACTTCAAATCGATGAACTGGATTCCTCACTGATGATAGCGGATGAGCTCATGATAATTGTTAATATCTGTAGACCAAAGAAGTTCGTTTACGGTCTGCAAGAGTCCTTAGGTCTTTCGCACAAGGAATACCTGTGCTGAAGAAGAAGATAGCAGTGAAACCAGAATGTCAATGCCCTTTCCTAAGCAATAGCGGCGAAGTACACAGTCATATATCTGCCTGGAGAGGGCGTGTCCACGGACTCAGTTTCTGGGTGCGTGCCGGGTGAAGGTGGATAGACGCCGGTACAGGCGCAGGAGTCAGGGCAAAGTCATCGTTTTCTCGTGCTGCCTGCATTCTCTTACACTCACGTTGTGTGCGCCCCACTGAACGGGGAACACTGCGCGATCGCACCCATAACTAATTCCGTTGACACGCCCTCTCCAGTCGCCCTGATATAGACCCTTCTAGAAATTCTGTCTCCAAAAATCCATGAATTTCTGTTTTCTAACCGGTGCTCCATAGGCCATAGCTGGAGTGAATTTGGTGTATGCTGCGGCAATGATGGGCGAGTGGGATCGAGTTACAGTAATGCTGGGACGATTGAAGCTATATTACACTCCGGAGTTGAATTGGCAGGTAGTTGTGCTATTTTGTTGAATTTTTTGTTCTTTATACTCGTAGTAGCGGTAACATTGAATCACTTCAACATTTAATTGTACTATTGCAAGTAATAGGTAAGGGGTACAAGAACGAATAAATACAGTCACCACCGCAAACTAGGGCCTCTGAGGGGGCGTGGATCGCAACGATGCCTAGGAGGCTTTTCCCACCAATGAGTCCGCTACAGTAAAGGGGGAAAGGGTGTCCTGCGCCCTACTCACGCCACACGCCATATCACTGGATCGCGTCTATATGTTCTACACGACTTTCAGCTTGTTCTACACAATATTCATGTGTTATTTCAGCGTCTTACTCAGGTACTTCTCGTCAGAAACCGTTGTTCCAGGCTGCGCAGTATGTGAACCTTTGCGACAGGATAATCCTGTTCGACACAACGATTTTGCGTGGGCAGTGGGATAAATGCGTCCCAGTGTTGGAGGATATTGAAACCTTGGATGCAGCTGAAGCATTGTTACGGTAAGCATTTGTACCTGGTGTTTTCTAGAGCCAGAGCACGTTGCGCGTTGGAGAATCCCTAGCTGGGGTCGTATTTGGTCGTGTTTGACTGGAAAAATTGTTTTGCTAGTCAATAGTTCCTGCTTCTTGCGCGCTATTTACATCTTTGAGAGAACTCCAATAGGGGGGGAGGGGTGGGTCGCATTGGC